GATATTGCAGTCCAGTTCGCCCCGCTCCGGAAGAGAGGGCACCCTCACCAGGAGCTGCATCGTCCCCGCCGCGGACTCGAGGGCTTCGCTAACGCGACCGTCTCAGTGTATATGAACGAGCCCACCCTTCTGCGGCTCGGGACTTGTTCTGGGGCCCGCGCCGCGCCCTCCTGCCCCTTTTATTAGTAAGGCCCCGCCCCCTGAGGCGTCACGCCGTAGACGTGCCGCCCCTTAGGGCGGTACGCGTGGGGGCGGTGGAGGCGCGAGGCCGGGAATGTAGGCGATGGCGGCGTGGGGGAGGCGGCTCGGGCTCTTCCCAGACCGGAGCCCTGGGGGGCACACCACCCATCCTCTCGCTATGCCTACAATTCCCACCCAGTACAAGGGCAGCACCCCTCACTTATATCATGGGCAAATCCTCAGATCCTTTCCTGCTCCGCCGCCCTTAGCCACTGGTACAGGTGTCTAAAGCTCCTGTGGCCTGTTCAGCTGCTCACGCTCTCCCAACCTCGCCTAGACAGACTTCCTAAGCCAGTTACACTGCCAGTTCTGCTCAACCTGTAGTGAGCTGCATGTTTGAAGGATGCTGCTCGGCAGTAGCTCTCATTCTGTCCTCAACTCTCATTCTACGTGATCTCCCTGTGTTCTTGTAAGATTGGCTTCCCGAACTTCATTCTCCTCGAGGTGCGCAACTCCTAGCTGACATCTCAGCCTAAGGAGGGACCTGGTTTCCTGGACCATGCCTTAGGAATGCTGGGAATCCTTTCCTTCCAGAGCATCCAGGCCTGGACACCCACACACCATGATGCCTCCAGCAGAGCAGCCCAGCATGAGTTCTGACTCAGGGATCTGACTGCCCCATAGGTAAACAGGACGTGGTGCTCACAACCCACATTCCCTGGTGGCACCACACCCACACCCAGCTGCCTTGCTTCCTTACCCTCCTTTCCTGGACCTGCAGCCCAGGTTCTGTTGTGAAAGGTAATAACAGTCTAGAGCCAGCTGGCTTGAGTTCAAATCCTAGCCCCTACCCTTACTAGTTGTGACACTTTGAGCAAGTTACTTAAATTACTCTGGGCTTTGATTTCCTCATCTATAAAATGTGGGTAATAATAATGAGGATTGAATGACCTCATATATGTAAGGTGCTTAACATGGTGGCTGGCACACAGTAAACATCAGGTTAGTATTAGCGATTATTATTATCCTGTGCCCCCAGCCTATATTGTGTTCACTTTAATTTCTCAGTACCCACCCCACCCCCCAATTTCTCAGTACCCAACATTTTCAACACCCATCTCTATTGGTCAATACAAGATGGTCTTCTCTACACCCATGGCATTTACTGACAATAATGGGAAATGTATACCTGGTTTTGTTTTTTAACTAAATTGTTAAAACCTAGAAGGTAATCTTTTGTGAGGAGGTACACCATTATTTTTAAGCAAACATTTCAGAACTTTTGAGTTGTCTTCATGGTCATTCGGGACACTGTCGATTTTTCCCAGTGACGCTATCATAATTCAAAACTTCTTTGGAACTTCCTTTTAGTGTTCCTCACATCTCTTAATATCTTCGATTGGTGATAAATCTTAGTCTTGTAAGGTAGATTTGATTATATACATGCTCCCAAAGTGTTTGACAGTCAAGGCTCCTCTAAGGTCTGTGTCTGTATATCAGTAACCTGCTCCATGGGCTTTCTTGTTAATCTTTAAAAACCCAAACTGATGATCTCCCTGTCCAAATCAGCATTTCTTTTCAGTGTTTCCTACCACTTCCTTTGCCCTACTCCAGAAATGTGGGTGTCATCCTTGATCCTTCCCTTACCCCTCCCGTTCCTTTACAGACCCCAACACCAAGCCTGGTTCATTTGCCTCTTAAATCTCTCTAATCCACACACTTCTCCCCACTTCCCGCACCACCCTAGTCCAAGCTGCCAATATCTCTTCCTTAGATCCCAGCAGGAGCCTCCTAACCTCCCCCAACACCAAGCCTGGTTCATTTGCCTCTTAAATCTCTCTAATCCACACACTTCTCCCCACTTCCAGCACCACCCTAGTCCAAGCTGCCAATATCTCTTCCTTAGATCCCAGCAGGAGCCTCCTAACCACTCTGCCCACAGGCATTCTGCAGGCTTCTCTCCATATTTTTGTTTACAATGATCTTGCCAAATCTCAAACACATTCATGTCTTGCCATACACTCCTTCCACTCCTGTTTAATACCTTTTAATGTGGCAGTTGTTCAGTGGCCCCACATTCCTTTGCAACATGACTTTGCTACTTCTCCCATTAAGAATTGGGGTCTTTTTTCCTGTCCCTTGAATCTGGGCAGGCCTCATGACTAGCTTTGACCAATAGGATGTGACAGAAGTGATATGTTAGTTTAGAGCCTAGTCCTTCAGTGGCCTTGCAGCTTCTGCATTTGTCCCCTGGGAATGCTGCCCTGAGACCACCATGTAAGGAAGTAGGTTTAGCCTTCTGGAGGATGAGGCCACATGGAGGAGAAGAGGAGCTCCAGCCAATAGCCAGCACTAATTGCCAAACATACTAGTGAAGCCATCTTTGATTTTCCTGCTCAGCCGACCTGCTGGCTAAGTGCAGCCACATGAGTGAGTCCAGGTGAAAACAGCAGAGGAACTCCCAGCTAACCCACGTGATCATGGGGAAAAATGTTTAAAAGTTGTGTCAAGCCACTAAATTTTGGGGTGATTTGTTGTGTTTCAACAGATAACTGAAATAGAGGGTTTTCTACTGTCTTTAGGATAAATATAATACTCTAAAGTACCCTGAAGGCCCTGTGTGTTCTGAACTCACCCATGCCTCACATTCTGCTCCCATTCCCTATTTAGACACTCTGGCTTTGGAGACCTTTGGCTTGCATGTTCCTTTCTGCCACAAGGTGTTTGCATATGCTATTCCCCTCACCCTGTTGCTTTCACCTTATTAACATTTACTCATCCTTCAGCTCTCAGTGCAGTCTTACCATGTCAAATAATCCATGTTCCTCCGGTAACACCATGTGCTTTCCTCTGGACTTTGGGCAAGTGAAGTTTGTATTAGTTTGGTGGATGCGTGATTGTGTCTCTCCCAGCAGTAAGCTGCACAAAGGTTATTCTTCATCTGGTTTTGTTCACCACTGCATCCCTGTGCCATACCATAGTAGGTCTCAATAAACAAATACTTGTTAGATTAATGAATGAGGTAAGCGATAAATGTTTATATACAAAGGAGGTGTGACATTAAAGGGAGGTTTTTACAAGGGGTTTCTAAACTGCCTCTGAAGGTAATTCTAAGGGGCATTTTAAAAATGTTTTGAGCAACGGGAAGGCATCATTAAATAAGTGCATAAACCTCCAGGGTACCTAAGGAGAATACTATTTCAAATTGATAAATTCTTGTATGTTTGTTACAGAATAACTAATAGTTTAGTCATACATTTTGCTTCTTTGTTGACTCCACTGTCTTCCAAAATGAGTGGGAGATGATAGGGGTGGATGTAAGTATTCATTAGTTGATCCGGTTGGCTGCTAACTCAGTAAATGGCATGCTGCTGACTTCTCTTTTGGAAATTAGTTTTACTCTGCTTGCCCAGCTTCAGGATTAAGGCAGGATGGGGATGGGTAGAAGAGAGATGGTAAGGTTGTATTTAAGGAAGGCAGAGCTCATCCTCCTGTGCCTTGTGATCTTTAAATGTTGTAACTTTCCACCCACTTTCTGTCCCAGGGAAATCAAAGGCCTTTGGGGGAAAAACAGGGGCATTATCTGATATCTGACATAACCCCATTTGATTCTGCTTTTCTGTCCCCCTCACCCCTGATCTTCAACTTTTCTTTTTTTCTTTTAAAATTCTTTTTTTTTTTTTTTTTGGAAGATGGTAAGGGGATCTTAACCCTTGACTTGGTGTTATCAGAACTGAAGGGGACGCACGGACAAAGGAAGCACGCGAGACCCGGGCTAACAGTTCGCCAGAGAAGTTCTGCTTTATTCAAGGACTGCGCGTACATTTATAGGGTGCTGTGCTCCGGGGCGGGAGAGAGAGTGGACGGGGTGGTAACTGATTGGACGGGGCTGGGCAGGAGGTGAGCCTTGACCTGTGACTGGCTGAGGTTGGGTGCGGGTGGGCTTGGGTGTTGGCGCCAGCAGCCTTGTCTACTGCGGAGAAGAACCAGGAAGGGCGCCATATTGCCAGGGTGTGTCCCTGTTCAGGCGCCCATGGGGTCCCTACAAGAACCACACTCTCCCAAGTGAGCCATGGGCCAGCCCTTTTCTTTTAAAATTCTAACTCCTGGGCCGGCCCCGTGGCTCACTTGGGAGAGTGTGGTGCTGATAACACCAAGGCTGCAGGTTCGGATGCCATATAGGGATGGCCGGTTCACTCACTGGCTGAGCATGGTGCTGACAACACCAAGCCAAGGGTTAAGATCCCCTTACTGGTCGTCTTTAAAAAAATAAAATAAAATAAAATTCTAACTCCTTTCCTTCTCTCTGTATCCCCTCAACGATAGATGGGTCTTCACTCTACCTCTGCTTCACGAAGTCACAAAGCCTCAACCTCAGAACCACCTCTCCCACTCAGCCACAAGAAAACCCCTCAGACAGTTCCTTGGCATATGAGTGGTAACTGGGCAAGAAGGAAATAAAAAGTACAAGACGAGGAAGAAGTATGGTTAATACCGTTTTACAAACAAAAAACAAGGGCAAGGGTGTCAAACAGCTGGGTCTCGCATAGAAAGAGGAGCAACAAAACTATGAAGCCAGATCTCTGGTTCTAAAGAATGTGGCAACAGAAAGAAGGAAGAAAACTGGGGTCTGAGGTACCTGGTGCCTATGTCCTTGATGAGAGCAGTGACTAGGAGCCTGATGCCTGTGTGACTGAGGTGAATGAGCAATGTAGAGAAAGCTAGTGCTGGGAGCTTTCTAATGGAAGGGGGCAAGAGGGCCAGACATGTGACTGCAACCCTAAGCTCCCAACCCCCTGCAATTCCAGACACTGTAAGAATCAAGTTAAGATTTTATTTATAGTTCCCTGGGAAGTCTTACAGAAGAGGACCATCATTATTGCTTTAGGATTATTGCAAGGAGGAAAACTGCAATCCTCCACTGCCAGGTAGAAAGTTCTGCTCAAGGCTCAAAAGTCTGTCCTCAGACCCTTTAATGTCAGCCCTTTGTCTCTGCTATGACTTAAAAACTGTCACTAATTCCTGCAAAGCACGGCCCAACTTTGTTTTCCAAGGGCCACCCTGGCCACTTTTGCCAGAGCATACTATACATCTGCTATCAAATTTCCTGTTACCTTTGTCAGTGCTGTGTCACTGTATTCCACACGTTTACCCCCATCTCAGCATGAAAAAAGTATTACACTAATTCTAGTTTTAAGCCGTCCTCTACCTCCGGGCTGGGAGGCAGGCTCCTGGTTTCCCAAAGATTATCGTTTACTTCCTGCCAGGACCAGCCTGGCTTCCTTTGTACCGAATAACGGTAAAGCCCCATTTCCTATGTCCAGATGACATCACAATTCACTTCCTGTTAGGTTATTACCCTTTGATGACATTTCAAGGGCCACTTTTGAGTTACTCTGCCTATTTCTTCTTAACTGCCAGGTTGTTTTTCTGGGTCTCGGCAATAGGGGGAAGACAGAAGGGAGCGAGACCAAGTGGCAGAGAGGGGAGGGCCCGTAGCTCATGCCAGGGATTAGCAGGAAGGCCTAGAAGGACGTAGGTAGAAGGCGGGAGGACTGCTTTCTCTCACAAGGCCCTCTGCGGAAGGATACGGCTTTGTTCATGCGTATAGCTACTCGAAGCCGGAACTCGTTAGTGGGCGGGGCCACCCTGGCTCTGGCCGCTGCGTTCAGGGACCCGGAGCGGGAGGGAGGTGGCTGTGGGGAAGCGGTTCCCGGGAGGCTGCAGCGGCTCTAGGTTGGGTCTGTGCGCCTCCAACGGACTATTTCTTAGGATGCGATTTGTTCCCCAGGAGCCCGTCTATCTCCATCACCGTGTGTGGGGTCAGCAGGCTCAGCACCTGGAGGATAATAGGGCGGTGGAGCGGGCAGCACATGCTGGGTCACTGAGGAAGGGAATGGGGTTCGAGGACGCGGGGAAGCATCCCCATGGGGCCGAGTGGCAAGGAAAGAGTCACAGCTGTGCTCCTGCCTCGCCTTGTCGCCCTGGGACCCTCGCCAGCAAAATGAGGACTTTGTAGTGGAAGACCTCACAGTGCCATTCTGGGTTGGACAGTGTGCCCTTGACTCCCGGGGAAGGGAACAGAGATGGGCTCTGCCTCTGAGTCCCCGGCTCACCTGTAGAGCCCCCAGGTGTTCTATCAACTGCTCTGCACTCCACACGCCCAGCAGGACCGAGCTGACACCGTCACTGCGGAGACACCACGCTGGGGCCAGAGGAGGAAAAAAAGAGAACTGATGGGGAACAGTGAACACATAGACTTAAGAAGTGTCTCTGAAGAAGACGGTCCTCCCTAGGGAAAAAACAGTCTTAGGTTTGGGATGATCTCAGGACGCTGTCAGTGTCTCACCAATAGCAAGCTGGGCAACAGTGCAGCCCAGCTGGTGAGCGATGGGGAGAAGGTCCGTGACTTTGGCTTGTTGCTTCTTGCCATCCTCACTCTGCACTTTGTCCTTGAGCCACCGGTAGCCCTGGAGGCCAAGGAGAATCAGCAAAAGACAATACACACACGCACTCACACACACACACACACACACACACACACACCAGCCCAGTTCTGCCATCCCCAGATCTCACCTTGATGGTGGCCCTGCAGGTATCTGGGACTTGCCCATTATACTTGCTGGTAATGAGATCACAGGCCACAGGGGACCAGGTAACTGAGCCAACACCTAAGAGGAAGAGGATTGGTGTTGCACTTTGTCCTTGAGCCACCGGTAGCCCTGGAGGCCAAGGAGAATCAGCAAAAGACATGTCACACACGCACTCACACACACACACACACACACACACACACACCAGCCCAGTTCTGCCATCCCCAGATCTCACCTTGATGGTGGCCCTGCAGGTATCTGGGACTTGCCCATTATACTTGCTGGTAATGAGACCACAGGCCACAGGGGACCAGGTAACTGAGCCAACACCTAAGAGGAAGAGGATTGGTGTGGGGAAAGGGACCTAGGGCATGGGTGAGGCCAAGGAAATGGTAGGGATAAGGAGACTGCAAACCGATCTTAGGGTAGAGCTCTGGCAGCTGCATCTCCACCTTCTTCCTCTGAAACAGGTGGTGTTCAGCTTGTTCACACACTGGAGGAATCAGATTGAATTGTCTGGCCATGGAGTAGGCCTCCTGAGTAGTGGTGGGGAAGAGATGAGGGTCAGAGCACTCCTTCCTTTTCCTTCCCTCCCCCCTCCCCCAGAGCAGCAGGGTTTGAAATGTCCACGTGAACAGTGAGAACCAGTTGTGGGATGGAAGTGGGGTCACACACTCACCATGATTTCTGCAGCCCCCCATCGGGATGTCCCCCAGTACAGGGCCAGGCCCTGGTTGATGACGTAGGTCATGGCTCGCACAATCTCTAGGCACATGGGAGAGGGAGAATCTCGCTGTCAGAACCCCGGAATCTAGAACTCCAGATCTGCAGACCTCTGCTGCCCCACCAAGACCCCAGGCATCCCTGTGGAGTCAGAGAGGTTTGTATCTGTTCTTTGCCTCTCTCCCTATCCAAGTTCTGGTATCTGAGCTACCACTGTGGAGCTTGGGAGGCCTTGTGAGCAGGGGCTGACTTCCAGCTGATGGTTTGAGGAAATGCTTGGTTTTGAAGGACTGTCAGGTTTGGGAGTGCTGCTTTTACCTTCCATAGGACTGTTGGGGTCTGAGAGATTGGCAAAGATGATGTCCACGTATCCCAGCTGGAGGCATTCCAGGGAACCCCGCAAGCCTGGAGGTGGGGGTGGAGAGAGGAAGATAAGCACCTCAGCTTCAGTTTACTAAGAATTCAAGCCTTACCCCATTGCCATGGCCACCTAAATCCCTATTCAAAGCCTCCAATCTAGAGCTTCAGAGAATGTTCCCTATTCTTCTGGCTTCCATACCCAGCCACCTCAGGTTGCCAGCCCAACTCTCACCCTCAATGATGTGTTTGCGGCTCAAGCCTCGCTCAGTGTCTGCCCTGTAGGAAAAGGTAAGTCAAAGACGAGGTATGGCAAAGATAGGGCTGGCCTGGAGACATGAGGAACTGGGATCACATGGGTCCTCACAGAAAGGATGCAGACCTGGGGGAGCAGGTGCAAGAATGCTGTCCCCACCCCCATCCCATACACCTTCACATATTCTTTGTAGGTCTTCTCCCCAATCGTAGTGGGGCAGCCACTTACTGTCCTCCCCCAAAAATCTTGGTGGTGATGACATAGCTTGATCTCCTGGAAAAAAGGGAAATAGCAGAACCAGCAAGAGAAGAATTTTTGGATGATCATATCCCTAGCAACCCCCCAAAATGCAGTCTCACCTCCAACCTTTGCTCTTGAGGATGTTGCCTAGGGTTCTTTCTGCCCTGGAAGAAAGACAGTGCAAGGCACTGACCCCTCCAAGGTGGATCAATTCCTTCTGCTCCCTACCTTTCTCTCTCTTGCAAAGTAAATCATAAACCAGGAGCCCACTTGGGCTGTCAGCCACATCCTGGACTAAATAGGAGGGACTCCTGAAACTAGGGGTGTAGTTGTCCAGTTTTCATTCATTCATTCAACAAATACCTGTTGTGCATCAACTATGTACCAAGCCCTGTTGGGTGTGCTACAGGGATAGAATAGGATGAGAAGAGAGGGAGAGACTGTGGTGGAGCCAGGAAGGACACTGCCTTGTCTGGCTTCAACCATCTGGTTGCCTTCTCCCATCTTTGAGCCTCTGCAAAATCCCACCCATTCTCCAAAGCTCAGCTTAGATTCTGCTGCATGCAGCAAATGTTTTCTGATTGCCACGGTCTATGGTCAGTCCTTCTTGTCAGCTTCCATAGCACATAATTATGAGCTAACTTGTGACGAATGTTAAGTTGTTATGGTGGACTATTACTGAAATGTTTTACTGTTTAATCTTTCATATCTCCCTGTCTTTGTTTGTTTAACCACTCAGACTGTGCACTTTTTGAACATACGTTGATTTCATCCCAGAAGCAGTGCCTGCTCTTTGCAAGCCTCTGTATAGGTGTTTGTGGAAGAGCAAGACAAATGCCATGGCAGGAGGAGCCTTCGAGTTGAGCAGTGAATATGGCTGCATAAAGCAGTAATTAACTGTGTCAGAAGGCAGTATAAAGTGCTTTAGGGGCTGGCTGGTTAGCTCACTTGGTTAGAGCACTGTGTTATAACACCAAGGTCAAGAGTTCAGGTCCCTATACTGGCCAGCAGCCAAAAAAATAATAAAATAAAATACTTTGGGATCTCACTAGGGGTGGTGACCAACTTTGGGGAGTTGGGCAAAGGCTTCTTGGAGGAGCTGACATTGGGGCTGAGTTTCGAAGATGAGCAGAAGTGTTTGCCAGATGGAGAAGAGGCACGGGTAGTTCATCTTAGGTTTTGGAAAAGCCCAATGTGAAGCCATGGATGTGTCACATGGCGAGGTGTGTTTGAAAATTCAGCTTTATAATCCTTACATAGTTGCACATAACTGATGCCCATGATATATTTGTTGGTTTTATTTAATGTGACTGCATAGTATGCCCATTGACCTTCAAGCTAGAGAGGGACTGATGTTGGGACTACAACTCCACAATGCTTTGGGGGCCCATGGGCTGAAAGGTTGGACCTTAGTGTTCTCACAATTCCTAGGGCTCTTTAGAGGGAAAACAAGAAGCCCTAATGTTCTCTGTCTTCCAAATGTAACTTAGCTCTTTTACCCCAATCCTTACTTTCCTGCTGCGTATACTTCAGCAGTGTCAAACAGGTTTACACCATGCTCATAGGCTACTGTCAGCACATCCTCTGCTGTCTAAGGAGGTGAGAGAGAGTTGAAAGGTCAGTCACTCTCCCTCAGTTACCTCTCTCACTGCACTCTAACCCTTCACACCTCAGCCCTGGTTTCCACATTCTTTCCCCTTTCCCCATCCTCCAGCCTCAGATCCCTCATTCCCCATGCTTCTTGTCCAAACCCCTATCCAGGTCCATTTCCCTTTTTTCTGGTTCCCTCACACCCCCTCACCCAGCTTCTAGGTCCCACCACTTATGCCTCATACCTCATCTGAGATCTGAGAACCAAATGTGACCCAGGTACCTGCAAGAGAGAAGCCAAGCATGTGAGAACTATGGGAAGCAGGCCATGAAAGAATGTCCCTTCCCTGAATTCCCGTTCTAACTCACCCAGGCCAAGACAGGATACCCGAAGACCAGATTTTCCTAGGTTCCTGCGGGATACAGAAGCAGCGGGAAGGGGTGGAGCCTCCATTAGGGACCTAGATTATCAGCCCTCAGCTCCTCTGCTAACAGACTGAGAAGCCCTCAGGGTGTCTCAGTCCAAAGAAACTAGACCCAGAGGGCCTATAGGATTAAGCAGTGCTATCTCCATAGCAGAAGCCCTAGGAATATTATTGAAAGAACAAGTGAACAAATAAATGATTGTTCCTTTGGAGCCACTGTCCAATACCTCTATTCCCTCCGATCACATTGAAGACATGGTGTCTGGTTTGTCGTTCTTCTGGGTGGGGTCTTGTTTGTGTTTGAGTCATCTCTGTGATGTGTGGAGTAGGAGGCTGGGAGAAATGTGGATGATTGTGGTGAGTTTGTGAGAACAGACTCTAAGAGTGCTATACTAAAGGGCAGATACCAGGGTGGCAGAGGTAAACCAAGTCAAGTTCAGGCACTCAGACAGGCAAGGGTCCCTAACTAGGTTAAGGGGATGGGTAGATGAACCTCCAGCAAAGGCAGATAGAATACCTGGGGAGGAGTATGACAGGAAAGCCTAGTTTTCCCTCTTCCCCTCTCCACTCCCTCTGCTCCCATTGGCTTGTGAAGACTGTCTCTGAAACAGCAAGCCCTCTCCTCCTCTCAAGGCTCCCCACCCAGTTGTCAGCTTCCCAATCAGGGACTGCCACTTGGAGGGGATCAGATTCCTCAGGTGAGAAAGCAGTTCAGATCAGGGTCCTCGAGCTCATTCCCAAGCAGGAACCCTCTCCTCCCCTCTACTGTGAGTTCTGAGACCCCCTGGTTTCAGTTCTCTGAAAATCAGTTACATTTTGGTCCACCTTCCCCACCCAGTCCCTGTCTCTCAGCATGGGGATGAAAGATGTGGTCCAGCCTTCCCACAGGCCCCACTTCCCTTCCCCCAAGAAAGGTGGCAGAAGACCGGACCCTTGGGGCAGGTGGGGGCAGTATTTGGGTGAGGCACCCCGAGCAGGCCTGAGTGAGAAGGCGTTTTTTTCCTCCCTCCTCTCTCCAGGACTCTAACCCAAGGAAACTCCATTGGAGGAGGGTGCAGCGTGGAGATCCGTGCATCCCTGGCCTTCCTAGGGCTAAGAAGGGAAACCCTGGAGCATCGCCTGGGTCTGATAATACCCAGTTACGCTTTTTTCTTTCATAGGGGTATCAATGGAGACCGAGAGAGGGATCGAGGAGGAAAGTGCTGGTGAAGGGAGGAAGAGATGGAATGAAGGGAAACCTCGGGAACCTTCTTAGCGAAGTTTGAAGGGGCCTTGGCAGCCATCCCGAGAAGCCTCAGGGGTCCCGAAAGGGAATAGGGTGGGGTGGGTTTCCGGGCCACCCCCATACCTGTATTTCATGCCAGTGCCTCGGCTGGTGCTCTCTCGGAGGACCCCAGCAGGCGCTGGGGGTCAGGGGACCAGTGCGGCTCGGGCCTTGGGGCCCGACCCACCACCCCCCGAAGGATTCCCGTGTCCCCCGCCGACCGGCCCGCCGTTACCGCCCCCGGGGCCTGGCCGGGGTCCACACAGACGGTCCTCACTGCTCCGGCTGCGAAGGCTCTGCTCGGTACACGCGATAGACACCTGCATGCCGGCTGGCCAGGGCGGGGAAAGGGACTCCCAGGGGGCGGGAAGCCCGCGGACGGACACCCAGGGGCGCAGTGGGGTGAGCCCTGCGACAGCGGGAAGGTTGAGGAGGCTGCGGCTGGAGCCGGCAGGCAGGATCGGGCCAGCGGGGGCCGGCTGCTGGGGGTCGCGGGAGGGGAGAAACGCGGGGGACGCCAGGAGTGGTGATATTCAGATATGGGGGGCACTGGAGCACGGAGTAGAGGGGGAAATAAATGAGGGTAAAGGTCGGGGGCAGTCCCTGGGGAGAGACCCAGGGATGAAGGGGACGGGAGAGGAATGCCACTTCAACCCGAACCGCAGCGGGACCCGCTAGGCCCCCGGCCGCGGCGGCAGCTCGCCCAGCTTATCGTCATGCAGGCACCGCCCCCTCATCTGCATAGAGCCACCCGCCTCCCAGCCAAGCCTGCCGCTCATCTGCATAAGCCCCTCCTGCCGAAGGCTTCGCAGCTTGAATATTCTGTGAGCAGAACGCAAGAGGGTGGTTCTTGCACCCTCGGACTCGGGCATGTCAGTCTTCCCAAGAAAGTGGTTCTTTACCGGTAAGGATTTTGTCCCCCAGTGAACATTCAGCAAGGTTTGGAAACATTTTTGATTGTCATCACTGGGAGTGAGGAGGGATGTGCTATTGGTATCTTGTGGGTGATGGCCAGGGTTGCTGCTAAAATCCTACAAAGCACAGGACAGCCCCAGCAACAAAGAATTATCTAGCCCAAAATGTCAATAATGCTGCAGTTAAGAAACCCATCAGCCTCTTCTCAGGCTTCAGGGGGGTGGGGCCACCCTATTTCCAGCCTTCAGGAGTGGGGCAGACAGGAAGGGTCCCCTCAAACTGACACGCTTGGGCCACCGAGGGTGACAAAAAGTTTATTCTGTGCTTCTCACAGCATCAGATAGGGGATAAAACTGGAAAGAGGGACTGGTTTGGAGATGGAAGATTCCTGTGGGCTTCATTCTGGTGATGGAGGGCACCAGGACAGGTCTTTAGGGTGTTGCCCTAGGAGGGGGTAGGTGGAGGGTCTTACAGTGGGGGACCTCAAGGGGCACAGGTTAGGAAGGGCCCCAGGCAGACACAGATTCTTCTGAGTGAGGTAGGGTGCTTCAGCCAGCCCGGGCGGAGAAGAAGGGCAGAGAGCGAACGTAGGAGTCCAGTCGAGAGCGGAAGAGCTCACTCTGCACAGTTTGGCCCAGAGGGCACAAGGGATTCTTCACCACCAGCTCCACGTACAGCTGTGGAGAGGGAGGATGTTAGAGCCAGGCTTTGGACACTTCTTGTTTTCAACCCCAAACCTTAGGAGTGTGTGAATGCACAAGCAACAATGGCTGGGAAGCAAGACCTCTCTGAGGGGAACTGGTGGTGGGAGTGTTTAAGGATCTAAAAGCCCCTAAGAAAACTCTGAATTCAATAGAGATATAATACGCTAGGATTAAGGCGGTGTCTTGGGGCTCTGGCTGTGGCCATAGCTATTAAGGAGCTCTGTGGGAAGGGTCCCCGGGGCTGGCACTGACCGCACTGTAGATGTGGTGGAGCACATCTCGGATGGGTCCCACGCCCAAGTCAGTATTCATGACAACCTTGATCCCAGTGGGCGTCTCGTAGTAATGGAGTTTGTAACGGCTAGTTTGGAAGGCCAGGAAGCCGTCCTTCCTGCAGAAATAAGGAGGAGGTTAAAGAATGGGAATGGGATCTCTCTCAAAGAGATCCTTCTGATCCCCTCAAGGTCGCCTCCCTCTTCCTCTATGGTTTGTAGGAGGCTGGTTGAGTAAAGACACCGTCCACCCTCACCCCTCTATTTAGCCCCGCCCCCAAACTCTCAGCTTTCAGACCTTCCCCACCCCCGTTCCTGTCAGCTCCAGCATTCCCGCTCTGGACTCAGTCTCTCTCTAAAGTCCCCGTCTCCTCTCTACGCGCTTCCACTCGAGTAAATTTTCCCCACCCCCAGATTCCCAAGGCTAGCTCTCCTCTCAGCATCCCCTCTGATTCCGCGTACATGTCTAGCGGGGACATCTTGCTGACAAACGAGCGTATGGAGAAGAGCATCCCGTACATCAGCTTGTACTCCTGGAGGGAGAAGGGCAGAGTTAGCTCTCGGTTGCTGAGGGAGACGGGGTGGGGGTAGGAACAAGTCGGGGTTTCGAGAGGAGGGGCTGGGCTGGTACTATGTGTGTTTGGAGATGAGAGTTCACCCGGGCTGCACCGGGGCCCTCTCATCACCTCCTCCTTGGGGATCCCCGCTTGCTTCTTGCGGTGCCACTCGCTGTAGTGCAGACAAACTCCATTCCGGTCAAACAGGTACAGGTTGTGGACAGTCATCTGTAGGACAGGGAGTGTGAGCCTCGCCGCGGTACCTCCTCCACTCCTTGCGCCCGGGTTCTCGGCGCGAAGGTGAGGACCCCAACCCCGGACTCGCCGGAACTGCTCCGAGTGCCCGTCACGAGCCACTTCCGGTTTTCGCGGAGCCCCGCCCCAGCAGGTCCTTACACTGCAACTGCGGAGTATAACCCCACCCCAGTACGTCTCTTCAGACTCCGCCTCCCTCCGTTAGCCAATCCGTGGCCGCCGGAGCCGCGCACGCGCGCCCTGGCTCTCGGGTTCTGGAGACTTTACGAGCTGCTGGGATCGTGGTCTCGCGCACAAGTGACGTCATCGAGACGAGAGGCGGGGCTGCGGGCGGTGGGCGGGAGGCTGCCAACGGGTTTGAGTGTACAGGACAGCGTGAAAGCGGAGTCTCTCTCTTTTCGGACCAGGGCTCAAGGGAGGGGGGCAATCCCTTGTCCTTGGCAAAATTGGGGGCTGAGGACTGCAGGTGTGGAGAGTAGTCAGACGGGGTGTTTGGGGTGGATCTCAGGCTAGGCTTGAGGGCGGTGTGCTTTTTAGGGACGTCCGAGGCCGTGACTGAATGTTCACAGGTTTCTTTTGGGGCGGTTGAGAGAGGGATTCTAGGGAGCCCTGCTATGGCTTTCTTGCCAGGAGGAGTCGGAGGGGATATACAGGGGGGTTGATCCTGGGTAGAACGGGTGAAGTGGGCGGGGAGCGCCGGGGCCTGAGGTTCCTGCCTCTCAAGACTGGAGCCAGTTGAGGGACAAATAAGGCAGCTGGACAGAAATTTGGCTCCTGGTGGATTTGGGTTCGTTTCGGTTTGCACGTTCTGGGAGTGAGAATTTAAGAGCTCAGTTGCCCAGGGATAACCTGTCCCTCGGTTGATCTGCAGCTTCCAGCACTCCTAGTTGGGAAGAGGAACTTCAGTGGTCCTGTTGCCCACAGTAGGTCTTCTCTCCCCACCCCCTCTGCGCTGCACCTCCTTTTCCGCCGTTCCCAGGAACTGGAGAGAGGAATGCTTTTGCCTTCTTCCATGGCCTCCGGAACCCGTAGAAACCTTTCCTCTAACCAGAAAACCTTGGTACCCTTATTCACCAAGGACACTTGGTGTGGAATCTTCCTCCCTTCTCCCAAATCTTTCTCTGTGAACTTTTCCCACTGGACTCTCCTAAAGCAGAACTAGGGGTTCCCAGCTTCTTGCTGTCTCCAATTGTCTATTCCCTGTACTCATGGCAACAGCAGCTACCAGCCCCAGTTCACCTCTTCGGTCGGAGGACCTCCTGAGTGATTCATCAGAACCCCCGGGGCTAAATCAGGTGTCATCTGAGGTGACTTCCCAGCTCTATGCTTCTTTGCGCCTCAGCCGACAGGCAGAGGCCACAGCCCGAGCCCAGCTGCATTTACCCTCCACCTCCCCACCTCCTCATGAGGTGTTAGATTGCTTGGCCCAGGAGCTGAGTGGCAGCTTGTCAGTCGGATTGGAGAACAACTTGAAGAAAAAGGTAAGGGAGGTGTGTTTTGGGGACCTCTATCTAGGGTATTAGATGCCAGAGTCTTAGGACTGGGGGTGGTAAAAGCAAAAATTGCTGAAATTTGAACTCCTATTGTTGGATTTCAAATTCCCTTTAATTACATCATTAGTCATGCTTATTCCTGGAAGCAAGTGTTTATGAGGGAGAGCGTGACCTGGGACACCATAATTTGGAAAATTGTCAAACTTTCTAGAGTTTTTTGTCAGAGACACCTGCGCTGTGGGGTACATTGGTGGGACTGGGACCTGGCTCTGGAAGTGGGGATAAGGTTTCTTGGTCCCAAAAGGGAACTAGGGACTTAAGGAAAGCAGCAAAATATGCTAAGATTCTTTCAGCCCAAAACTATTTGGATTGTATGGCTCAAAATTTGGGCATGTAAATCATTAAAATATGGTTTAATCAATTATACATATTACAGGGAAGATAGGTATTGGTGTTAGATAGAAAAGGTCTTATAATCAATTTGCAGACTGGTTAGGTCTTCTAGAATTTGAAAACTGATAGCCATGGACTATTACAATCTTTAGATAGGGTATTTGCTCTTTAGTTGGCAAGAATCACCACCAGTCTTTTATACCTGCCTAATTAATTAATTTACACTATCTTTCAGCTTCTGGAGGCATTTGGGTTTCTGACTTAAGGTTAAGACACCCCCTGTTGGGTCCGTTTTGTTTTTCTTGCTTTCCCAGGTGCTGGAGGAAAAGTCTGCCCTCCAGACTTTTCCAGGATATAGATTACGTAGATTCCATCTGATTTTCATGTGGCTTTTTTTTAGGATGGTTCTAAGCATATCTTTGAGATGGAAAATGTTCGGGGTCAACTCCAGACTATTCTTCAAACCTCACGTGATACGGCCTATCGTAAGTAAATCCCTTCCCTAGAACTATGAAGGAGAGCCTAGATTTAAGGGGTGGGAGAAAGTGGAGAGAGGAAACAGGGAGAAAAACCTAGCCCTCACAGACAAGAGATTTCAGGAGAGAAGGCTCCCATTCTTTGGGAGAAGGGGTGAAAGAATGGGGGAAGTAGAAAGAAAGGGCTTCTCCTCTCTTCTCCTTCAAATGGTCCCTGTTCCCATCCTGACCTGACCCTGACTGTGGGGTCCCTCTGGCTGC